TTTGCAGTGGGGAGCGAGCAGGCTTGCTCTCTCTTCTTCACATGCGATCGGACGACCAGCAAGAAGAAGAAGAAGAAGAAGAAGAAGCAGCAGCAGAAGAAGAACGCGACGCCCCCCCCCGCTACCACCACCACCTCCTCTTCTTCTTTCTCCTCCTCCCCCTCGTCGTCGTGTGTCTCTCGGCAGTCAGTCGGCACCTGTTCTCGCTCGTCGCCTGCTTTGCCTTCATGCAAGTGAGCGCGGACGTGCTCTCTTTGCCCCCATTGTTAGATTAGACGGCTATTTTGTATATAGATATTTTTTAAAGAAAGCACCAAGAGTATGACTTCGACGTCGTATAGCCTGGATTACCTCCCGCTGACTGATAGTCGGTTAATGGCTGCGGGGGACACGATGTAAGTACCTGCGATACTTGCTCATTGTCGCCGTTTTTTTTTTTTTTTGCCCTTCTTTTTTGGGGTTTTGTTGTTTTTGAAGTTGCGCTTGGGGGAGATGATGAAACGTTTCACTTTGTAGGTCGTAGCCTTTTAGCCCAACTGCAGGAGCTAACGGCTAACGTGTCGAAAACGGCCGGCTAACCTCCCGTCGAGAGGAACGCGGCTCGCTCGGTATTGTTGAAAATAACCGCCAGCCGCTTCAGGTTGAAACGAACTCGGCGGCGGTCTTAATTTTGCAGTCGAGAGCGACGGAAAATGGAGAAGTGTTGTTGGTCCGTGTGTGCGTGTTTGTTAGCATTAGCGACATTAGCGAGCGCGCGGCGACTCGAGTATCATGTGCTTCTCGCTGTGTTGTACAAACAAGAAATGTGCTCTTATAAGCGAGCCGAACCTTGCCTCTCGCTGGTTCAAAAAAGAAACAAAGAATCGCGCAAGTTGGCCGAGTTGGCTCCGTCGTCTGCGAGGCGACGGCCCGCTACTCGATCCGCTCGTCAACAGTTGAAAGGGGAAGCGGACGGTCGAGTAGGCCGGCGCTTGCTCAGGTTTCCTCATATTCGGTTTTCGTGGAACGCGACATGATTGTTGCTCTTCTTGTTCGTTCGCAACCCCCCCCCCCCAAATAGCCACCAT